TCTTTCTTTCTTTCTCTCCCTTTTTCTCTACCTCCCCTCCATTTCTTTCTTCCTCTTCGATCTTCCCGTTCGCCTTGTTTTATTCTCCCTTCCCTTTTTCTTCTACTCCAACGGTAGTATCTTCTAGGTATATCTTGAAAAATTCGCAAGACCGAAGGCGCGTTCCCTCAACTAACATAAACTGAACCACAAAGTGCATCCTTCAACATTTTCATCCCCGACGATTATGTAAACGATGTGTGTGTGTGTACACGCATACATACAAGTCGAATGAAGGATATTGGATTAAGAGAGACGTCATTTGTCTTCATCTCCCTACACACTCTTTTGGCTCATTGTACATTGATATCCCTTTACTCTCGACGATTAAAATTTGTTGCTTATTTTTAAAAGTAACCACATTAGTACATATATGTATAATGTATATTTAATATACACACATATCCTAACATATATCTGAGTCTCACAAAAGGGAGTGGTGATCTTCTATATAATTTGGCGACCCCTTCATCAATTGCCCTGGAAGGACAGAAAATAAACGGAATTACGTGGGAGAAGGAAGATACAAAGACTAAGAGAGAAAGAGAGACTGTCATCCGACATAGCCATATACACGCTCGTCCCGGCTATTAATGCCCGGTAAATTATAAATAATGTTACTGGAACGACCACAAATCAACGTTCGGAGTAATACCGGGATCCTGGGCCTTCGCTCGATAAGGGATTAAGCGCTTTTCGAGAGACGCCTACCCTATTGGGCAGAGGAGTTGAAAGGATGAAAAGAGATGGAAGAGCTTGTCGGGGTAGCATCCCAGCTGCACGATCGAGAAACCGTATTCATCGGAGGTGGATTTGATACGTTAAGTTACCTTCCAAATAAAGGAAATCTTTTGTAAAAATATCTCATCGAAACAATATTAATCTATCTCGTTACTTTTTAACATCAATTAAGTCTAATAATTAATTTTAATAAAAGTAAATAAACTTAATTACGGTAAATAGAAGAGAACGAGAGAGAGAGAGAGAGAGAGAGAACGAGAGAGAGAGAGAGAGAGAGAGAAAGAGAGAGAGAAAGAAAGTGTTACTAAAATTGTACTGCTCAAAATATTTTATATTTATATTTCATATTTGCTGAACCTTGATTTTTTATCTAAAAATTGTAATATAAACGTATATCAAATATTTTACAATCAAACATCTACTGTTATATACGAACGAATAAATATAGAATAAACTCACCTAACTGAACTATTAATTATATAAATTAATTGAAACATTAATTCGTCTATTTTATAAAATAAGAAAAGAAGTAAAGAAATAAAATTTGGATGACCGATATGCATTTAAAAACTCTTATTAGTACTTGTTGTAAATATGAGAAAAAAATTTAGAGAAATTCTTGTTCTTTAATATTATTAGCAGCACAAAGAAACTCGAAACTTGACTCGTTAAAACCTGTAATAACTGAATCTCTTTAGTCTATCTCGTTTCCATACTCTTCCTTTATTTTTTTGATTACATAAATTATCACAAATTTCCAGATGAGAAAAAGATAAAAAGAGAAAAGAAAAAGATCCTTAACAAGGTACAGCTGAATGATACTCGCAATTACTACTAGGCGACCTTCGGAATGGCTTACCAAGGCGAATGAATTTCGAGTCTGACCTCAAACGAGAAAAGGGGGAGAAGAAATGGGATGAGCGAGTACTCTCTGGCGATGCCGTGCCACGATAACGGATGTCTCCGGCCACGGCTCTTGTCTCATTGTCTTCGCCCATCCCTTGAGAGAACGAGAAAGAGAGAGAACTTGCCGTCAAACAGATTGAAATCAACGAAGCGACTTATATTTTCTCCTTCGCTCGCTACTGCCGGAGCCAGATCTGAAATGAAAATCTGTGGAGAAGGTTCACGAAAAAAGAAAAAAAAAAGAAAGAGAGAAAAAGAAGAAAGAGAGTGAGTAACCACAGAATAATTCGCAGTAGAAAACACCACAAGTAGTAGCAGCAGCAGCAACAGCCTGTTACGTCCGCCTGAATTCTTACCTAGCCCGTTTCCACTACAATTAACTCTTTTCCAAGCTTATCGTCGAGGATGTAGAACCTTTTCGTTCATGAATTCGCTAACACGTGTCGAAAACATTTCACAAATAATCAAAACTCCGAAATCTATCTAAAACAATTAACTCTAATTATATCGATTTGTGCCCCTTCAATCTCTTGAGCATAATTAAATCTCTTACTGCGAGCTAAAAAGCAATATAATATGAAATTAAGCTACCCTCAGCGGAAAGAGAGGACAAAAGAGAGAGAAACAGAAATGAAAAGAGAAATCATCTCTCTTTTCTTCAACCTCTATTATGCATTTTAAAAGATAACTCTCTTCCCCAGCAAAAATTTAACCGATCAGTTAAAACATCCGTCATAGCACGCTGAAAGAGCTCATTTATAAAATAAACTTTAAATTAATAACGCGTCCGTACTGAAAAGATCTGTACTGCAAAGACTACTCTTTAGATGTTAATTATTTGAAACATAAAAAATGAATAAAAAGATAAGATAGATCAAGGAAGCTTCTTAAAGGAGAAAATGTCCCAATAAAAATGAAACTAATTTAACATTTTATCCCCTCGTTTACGATTTAGATCCTTTAACTTCTCTCCTTAAAATCTATACCATCGTTTCAATTTTACGATAATAAATTCCAACTGCCAATCATATTTTGAAAGGGCTACTACGACGGGAAAGGGTCTAACATTAGATCGAGAAATTACCTGAAACCTAATGGCTAGCTAACATAGCAAAGTGAGACGTACGTCTAATCCACGTTTGACGGTCGTAAGGCTACTGACGGTCAGCGTAGAGCGTCAACGAGAGTGAGAAACCAAGAGAGAGAGAGAAAGGGAGAGAAAGAGATAGATAGATAGACAGATAGATAGATAGATAGATAGATAGATAGAGAGAGAGAGAGAGAGAGAGAGAGAGAGAGAGAGAGAGAGAGAGGGTCGAATGTACGATATTGCGCTAAACCGAGCAATTACTGGTCGTAATCTCGGTAATAGAATTCCAATATGCGTGCCAATTGGACCGAGTCTCCGTGCGGGCGTGCAGGCGTGAATCTGCAGGTCGTGCGCGAACGGCGAAAGCCGTGACACGGTTCAGCCATTAGCCACGAGACTGGTTACCCGTGGACCGTAGATCGTGGATCGTGGATCGTGGACCGTGCCCATGGCACGTAGCTGCCTGCATGGACAAACTGTACCTGTCTATGTGTATACGAGTTTCTATGTTTCATTGTGGTTCATGCATGCATACATTCACTCGACTCTATTCACTATCTCACAAGAGACTACCCAAGATCTAGGAGAGAAACAAGAATACAAGTAAGAAAATACGTTGCAACTCTTTACTACTACTGTATACATACGTATGTTAACAAGTGATTCTGAAACTTCGTCAACATGAAGTTTCTCTCCTTTACTGTTACAAGTTTCTAACTTAACGACAATCCTTCCTACGATCGTTACTATCTTGTCTCGTAGTTAAATTTCTGTTAATTTAAAACAGTTTTATTTCATGTAAAAAATTTCCCGTCGATGACTCGTTTGATTGGTATTTTTCTATCAATAACGAATCGAATATAATCAACAGAAGTTTGATTCTGAAATAAAAAAAAAACACGAAAGAATGACATGAAAACAAAAATATAGAAAAAATCAATAATATTCTTTTTTCGTAAATTTAACTTTTTCAAGCAATATAACGCGAATATTATATTTTTACCGTATAATTATTTTAATATATTTATCGTTCACTGTTCTTCTGGAACTAATCGACTTTCTTTTATTGGGCTAGATTCTCCAAACTTAAGAGAGTAATTAAAAAAGTAATACTAGGAAGCTTTCGAAATTTATAATACGTCCTTGACTATAAAATATTTTACGTTAAACAATATTCTATTTCATTCAACTTAAGGAAAAACTTTTTTCTCCGAAATTTTTTTCAATATTGGTCCAACGTATTTGACTTGTTAATATAAAAATAATAAAACAGTATTGATAATCAAATTTCGTTTCACTTTTATACGATCGATGAACAAAATATTGTATTCAAACAAAAAAATATACGCTACGTACATGTCATGCGTAGATATTTCATATTTTTTGCAAATAAACTCGACGATTGATCGAACATTGACGATAAAATACTGAATATAAAGAATTTTAAAAGAAAAGATGTCAAAGTGTTGCATATATGTTAAGAAAGAGAAGGAAGAAGAGGAACAGAATAAGAAAGAGGAAGGTATATCGAGTCCATTGAGCTGTGAAGCGCATTTAAACGACGATTCATTGCACAATTACGTTTAATTGCTTCCAATTAAATAGTTGCCCCAATTAAAATTGATGCGAAAGAAGTCATTCCCATTTACCCAACCGATTATTTCGATGATCGCTTCTTTCATCGTAGCTAAGGGATGGTCTTCGGAATAAAATCGTATTTTTGCTTCTATCGTCGGATAGACGATAGCTCGAGCGTTCTTATAGATTCAACTCTCGTAGATGGTACTATGTTGAACTTCCGACTTAAACTTATACTCTCTTTGCGTCTTGTACAGTGTTTATATTACGTTGTACTTTGAGTTTCGACGGTATACCGAGTACTTTTGAGAAACTCCAGTGTACAAACACATTCTCTGGAAAGTTCTAACCCCTCTTTTGCTTCTTTGCCACCTTCTATCAACTTTCCTCCTATATACCATCCTAATAAAGGATTCAGGCTACATCTTTCCACCTTTGAAATCTAATTATGAAAAAATTGATAAAAACTAAATAAATTCGAAACATCACGCTACTTGAATCAATACTTTTATGCTATTTATTTCAGCCTAGCAAAAAGTTTTTTAACTTACAAATGTATACAATCCGTTAAAAGATAAAAAGCTATTTCATTTTTATTTAATTTGAAATTACAGAGATATACTTTGATAAAAATCTTCACAAAACTAATCGTTGAAAAATTTTCTGTCACAAATAAATTGTTTCCAAAGTCACCGTGTTAAATATAAAATTAAATTACTGACTAGTTGGTGGTGATCCACCGTTATCGTATTGGCTTTTGTGCTTTAATAAATAACCTGCTAAAAAGCTAATAGGGTCAGGAGGTCTTTCTTTGGCTAATGTAGATAGAGCCTGCAGCAAAATTGGAACCACAGTTTGATCCAGATACTGTCTAGTTGGTAGCGATTGCACCTCAACACGAGTTTTCTTTGGAGGTACGCTTGACAGGTCAGGATCTTTGTCCATCGCTATCACTTTCTGCAAAAAGTTAATCAAAAATTAGATCAATACAAGGTAACGCAAATATAATGGCTTACCAAAAGTGTACGACAACAAAAACTACTTATATCTCTATCGTATACATTGTCTAACAATCAATCTTGAAAATTAAGCTCATACCAAAAATATAAAAGCTATTAATAGCAATAAAAAAGAAAAAGAAAATAAAAGTACTATTGATATTAAAATTTATAAAATAACTAAACGATTTTTATTATACTCAAGATCTTAACAAAATAAAACTTTGTAGAAAGAAGATTACTAGTTTTGCTTTATCTACATAAATTAAAATAAAATAATTCTCAATCTATTACATATGACGACTAAGAAAATAATAAATTATTTGATAATATAATAGAACAGCTGTAACTTAATTGAAATAATCTAAAAACCTTGATACCAAGGTTTAAATAATTTTCACAAATTTATCAATTGTACAACATTGACATGCCGTTGAAACATTAATTATACCTCTTTACAATGCATACGAATACGAGAATAGATTGAAAATATCACCGTTTTAAAGCAAAACTCGTGTTCTTCTAGGTTATCTTTCTTACGTGCGCTGCTTCCGACACGACATTGGAGATGGGTTGAGCTGGCGTAGACGCTTCAGTTCTTTCTTCATTTGTATTTTCTATGATTTTAAATATAATAATCGTGTTAATAACATCCTTATATTTATAATACGAATTATATTGCGTGAATTCATTTCACGAGAGAACGATTAGAAATTCCTGGTGTACTCACCACCACCGGACGCCATCGTGTAAACAAACAATATTACCAACCATTGACGACAAACACTAAACGTTCAATTTTTTATACCGTCCGAATGTATATTATTATTTTATCGCATAAATACAATATCACACTACACTGCTTCCACTCAACTTTTATAACGATAAAATTTTTAAATAATTCAGCGAATGGGCGCCATCTAGGGTGCAAATGGTGAAATGTGTAAATTTCATTTCAAAGAAAATGAAATCGATAAAACAGATTGAAAAGAATTATATAAATTTTTATTATTAAAAAACAACTTACTCACAGCTGAACTCAATAATTCTTACAAAACAATATCTCCGGTATTTTTAATTATCAAAAAAGAAATGTTTAAAGAATGAATTGTTTAATTGAAAGGGATATACATTATAGTACGAATCAATTTTCTCGAAATTTTTTAATGCTTTATAATATGAGACAATATATTATTAACATTTTAAATGTTAGTAAAATGATAAAAATTATAACAATATATAGTACTGTTTAAAAAACTTTGATGACCATAAAATTAAGGAAGAAAGTAAACTTACAAAAATGTGTTCACGATATATTGAACCATTTTGTGCCACTTTGAATCAAATTCGTTCCTTCGAAATCATTAAAAATAATGAAGATATAACTCTGTAACAGAATTATTAAGACACTCTATATATTAGATCGAGGATATGATATTTGAAAATAGCAAATTTCAAAACAAATCTGAAGTTATAATAATTACGGTTAATATTATACTTGGATGAGTGACCATTTCTAATCATCGTGTGCTGTTTATTCCGGAGGTGATAAGACGGCCTCTGTGAAAAAAAGGTGAGGATTTTGCTGTTATAAAAAAGCTCCTCAAAACCAGTAAAAGAGAAAGTAATAGTGACAATATGTATATTGGTTCTACTTATTCTTTTTAAATTGATTTATGTATAACATTATATTTTTAATTGTAACTACGCGAATACTTGGTATTGTGAATACCAATGTCAATAGAGTTCACAATACGAATCCAAATCAAACGAATAATTAGAATAGTTCTATATAATAAATTATTTCTCTTCTAATAATAATATCAAATAATATTATTTGATAACAGAAATCATAGGAAATTATTTCTACGTAATATAATATTAATTAATGATTTTGGTATTATTAATATAAATTTTTGGAACATTATTAGGAGGAATTCATAATTGTTATATACAAATATGATATTGTACAATAATTGGATATTCATGAAAATATTAAATACATTTAATTAATAAAAATACTAGTTGTGTCTCAGTCATACCCCCTCAGTCTACAAATAAAACACTCATATCACCTCACGCATCAAATAAGGATAATTTTCCCAACGTCTATCGATACTTTTAGAAATATTTCTACACATGCACACACGTACTCTTTATCTTTTCTTTCACCTTAAATATGTTCAAATGTTCTGCGTGAACATATTTACAAAGGCTCAAATTTTCCAAGAACTCACTGAAATCTAGCAAAATAACCAATTATTTTTTAAAAATTAAATAATTATTTTATAAATAAATTAATGTAATAAAAACCTAGCTGTATGCGAATGCAACGTTGTATCAAAATTTCAAGACAATCGGTAAAGTACTTTTGGAGATTACCGACTAGACACAAACGAAATTTACATTTTTATATATACAGATATACAGATAAAGAGAGAAAGAAAGTGAAAGAAGAAGAGAAAGAGAGAAATAAATAAATAGTACGAACTAATTACGAATGTCTTTCTACTCAAAGAGTATGATTTCAGTAGATATATTCTTATAGACAAAATATAAACTTCAAACACAATAGAAGAGAGAAATATCCCTGCCATGCACCTATCATATCAGTGTATAAGACAGTTTATGTATATATGTGTATTCCTCTCATAATTGGGTTAATGTAGGTTAGAGTATTAATGTTAATATGCTGCAATTACACTTTTCAATCTCTCATATTTATGTTCGTTTCTGTGTGTATAGTTTAATAATAATCTATGTTAAATACAATGCAGTGTCATTATAATTTCGATTAAAGGCAGATCTATGTAGAGAATTATAATTAATATTATATAATTGAAATATAGAGGGTGATTCGCCAGCTTTTACCACTTAAATAGCTCCGAAAGTATGATAATAGCAGAAGAGTGGATAAGGAAAAAGTTACTTGAAAAATTCAGGACTACAATATGGCATTAACATTTTTTCGCTATGTTTAGTCATTTTCGAGATTTATTGGTCAACTTTGTTTTTTTAAATACAATATTATATTTGAATACTTATTTTCGGATAATGTGGCTGACAAGACGGGACTGAAGCAACATGTATTAAATAGCTCAGCACGCTATTGGTAAGTCGAGCCTAAAGCTTTATTTCCTCAAATTTGCAATTACTTTAGGAATCAGACTGTACGTGAAACGTAGGTTCATTAAGATAATAATAAAAATTCTTATAATTTATCGAAAATTGAATAATTACTTCTTATATTTTATTTTTCAAATGAAACTTTGTTTGTCCAAATCGGTTGGAAATTGTGCCTGTTTCGTTTAACAACGAAAACGATGCTTGGGATACAATTCCATCTAAAATAATAACTTGTCTTAAAAATACTTACTGAATATTAACTCTTATTCAAAGTTCATTAAATAGAATAAAATTTTATATAAATTAGACGAATCTATAAAGTTGAAAAGAGAAAGAGAAAGAGAGGAATTTGTGCTTTTTTTTATTTTATTTATTTAACATAAAGTTAGACGCTACAACTTTGGTACAAAAACATAAAATAGTGGGTATTGAGGAAACGGTATACCGCGCGCGGATCCTCGAGTCTCTACGATCGCGGAGATATGAGAGAATGAATAAAAAATTCTCTTAATATATAACCCCATCAGCAACAAAACACAAAGAAAAAAGCACGTAGACTTAAGATAACGATGAAAAAACAACGACGAATAAAGATAATAAAAGTATAGTGAAATAACAGGAAAACTGACATACAACACTCCGTCCATAGTAAGCTCGAAGAACCGCGTTCGCTTATTATTATTATTAATGTTATTATCATCATAAGAAAGAAAAAAATGTGAAATGCACGCAGTCGATTAAGCTTTCACGACCTACACACATATATATTTATCGATCATCACGATCGTTTTCACAGCATTTCTTAAAGTAATCGTTGCGGAAAAATAAAATGTTTCATATAAAAGTGCTATTCGGATTTTTTTGATAGTGCGCGTCGTTAATGATAAAAAAAAGTCACCCGTTGAATGATCTAAGCGACATCGCAATCATCACAAATTTTCCTTAATCCTGCTTATTCTTAAAACACCGACGACAAATATGTATAACGCCTAAGTTTAGTGCGTGTAGGTCGATTATAACGTATGGCTATGCGAAGTTTTTGTTCTTTCCTTACCTTTTTTTTCCTTATTTCCATTTTTTCTGTCACACTTACATCATCATCATCATTATCATCATCATGTTTTTTAAAAGTTAGAGATTCGAAAAAGCAGTAAAAGCGTAAAAGCTCCGCGAGCGTTGTGTGATTAAAACGTGATATACGTTATTTGTAAAAGTGACTTGGATATGGCTATATTAATCTGATATAGCGTGATCGTTATTACATTATAACAACACATACACAAGAATGCGCAAAAACCTCTAAAATCACATCGATGAGTAAAGTGCTGTGGCGACACCGAGTCGGAACCGGCTGGCCGCCTATTAGAATATTATATGGACAATTTCTAATCGTATCCTAATGGGATATGAAAATTTCTGTGATCTAATATAAAAAGGGATTAAGAGATCCTTTTTCCGTCGTCCACGACGAGAATAGAAAAAGAAATAACGTCTTTTGTTCGCGCATTAATAATATCAGTAATAGTAATAATATATAGTTAATAATAGTAATAATAATGATAATAATAATACAATCATCGGCCAACCGGTATTTACCTCGTATCATCGCCTCGGCAAATGAACGCGACACCTAGAGATATCCTACTTACAACGTATGTATATGTTACGTTAATCATATATATATATTTATATTTATTTATATAATATGTATATATCTAGAAATAGTGACGTGATAAAAACAAACTATGAGACACGCACCGTCATCACACCCTCGCGCGACGTCGATCATACAACGAGATTAGCCATTTGAAAGATGAGGAAACTACCTAAGAGCCTAGACACTTTGAGAAAAGCACTATGAAATCCTACAAGAGGATACTTTCACCAGGAAAGTCCGCTTTTCTCTACTTTGCTTCCCTTTTCTTACCAAAGGTGAGATGGTCCTTTATCGATCGATGACGATCGACGTATCGTTAGGGTGCGCAAGAAAATCGGTGTTTATTGTCTCGCGACCATCCGCCCAACCTAATACCTATCTACTTTTCTTTCATTTATTCACTCATTATGCTTTGTTACTTATTCGATTCACTTATTACGTCTCTAATAATCATCGTCGCGTTATCCTTCGAACTTCGACTCGAGCAAAAATTTTAGCGCGGCTAATATAATAGGTGTGATTAGAGCAGACTAATTAATTATCGGTAATAGATACGCGTAGATCTATAAATACGTATACACGCACCGAATTCACATTATACACGTATTTATATATATATATATATTTTTTTTTTTTTATGTTAGGACGATTAAGAACCGACAGCAAGTGTAGCTTGTTATGTGAACATGTGTATTGCGAAAGATTGTATGAGAGTGTAAATGTGTTCTTTTTTTTTAATGTGCGCGTAGCCTGTAAAGATAGTACGTAATGACGATTATATTTGTTTCTTTTTTTTTTATTTTTTAATTTTAATTATTTTTTCCGATGGCGTGCCGCGTTCTTCCTTCGGATAAGTCTATCGGTGAGAATTTGAAATTTAAATTTCTTTCATATTTATTTCTCATCATTTTTGTTCAATGGACGACGATGACGACGACGACGATGACGACGACGACGACGACGACGACAATCTCTACACTTGCTCTCCGCGACATTGAGACTCGATACATCTTCGACCCCCGGGGGGACACAACCTTCGTTACGAAATTATAAATCGTATATTATGTATATGTTATATGTTATTTACGTACATATGTAACGTATATATGTATATATGCCTGCGGGTAGCGGCAGTGTGGCACAACCATGACTTAAAAGCGAGTAACTAATCTCATGTTATCGTCTTAACCTGTCCAATAGGACGAGACTTGACTTTTAACCTAGGATATCCCGCGTAAAACCCCCGGAAAATGAACCGTCGCCGAGAGCACGCTTTTTCTTTTCTTCTTTTTCTTCTCACGATCTTTTGTCTATTTCTTTTTAAATTTTATTTTTTTCATATGTGTTGATTTATATTTTTGTTGTATGCTATTGCCTTATTGTTATTTCGTTTTGTTTCGCTGTCGTAAGAGAGCGTCCGCGAACCTGTGCCGGGTGTCACGAATCGCCTGAGATCCGAGAAGAAACAATTTTTATCTTAAGAATTCTCTAAAATCGATTATTATTTTCATTTCTAGCCGTCGACCATTCGACCTCCTTTGTCCTCGTTAGGCAGTTAATTAGAGAGGCAGTTTTGAGTTTGGCCTTTGGTTAAATAATGAGAGCTAGAATTAAACATTAATGCTACTAAATAATGATAAAAAAGTAAAAAAGGAAAAGAAAAAAAAGAAAAAGAAGAAACTAAAAGATAAGGCCAACAAGGATACAAAAGTCATTCGTGATATGGTCATAGATGGACGAAGGAGGTAATTTTCGTCGCGAGGACGATGCTCGTTGTCTCGTACGTATATACATACATCTGATAAAACGTGTGCACAACTCTTTTAAAAATTGAATTCATCGAATTCTAGAATCTATTCGCGACGATGTTATTTTGTAATTTTTTTTTCCTTTTTTTTCTTTTTCTTTTTTTTTAAATCATTAAAATCGTTGCAAATTGGACCGACGACAGCACCGGGGGAAGAGTTAGCGTGCGCTTTGTTTCCGTATCTCTCGAGTCTTCGGTCGGAGTCAACGAGAGAATCGGAAAACCATGGATGATGATGGATTTACAGGTTACACTGCCACAGTATCGTAGGGTGTGAGGAGTCCCCCGTGACCGCCGTGGGGGCTGCCGGTTTGCCGGCCGGGGGCTTCGTTTCTGCAACATCGATTACAATTTTGAGAAACATTCTTCAAAATTATCATCATTCTTTCCTTCCTCTTTTTCTTTTCAAAGAGCACTTCCATCAACTCTTTTTACATCCTCGTACAGATGCATACAACACTGCGAAAAGCGAAATAATTATTCGAGCAGTTATTAGAATATAAGCAAATTTAGTCCGTTGCGTCCTAAAAAAAATAATTATATAATAATTTAGCGGCATCTGTACGTGAACAAAAAATTTGTATCCATGCACTAGAATTACAGCAGCAATGATGAATAAGTATTAGTTAAAATACTAAATAGAAATGTAAGAACTTAGTAATGTTAATTATTAGGAGCCTAGTAATATATTATGATAAATGATTTGCATGTTAGCACAGCAGTATAATGTAACAATGATGATAACAGCGTATAATATATGGTAATAATATAGCATGAGTCGCAGTAGAGGCGTTTTTATAATTATTTTATCGCTAATCGTCCCTAGATTATTAAAAAAAAAAAGAAAAAAGAAATTAATTAAATAAATTAACCAGAGGAGGATCAGGTAGCATCCCTCCGATTTTTTTCAAATTTAGTACACTTGTAATAATCATGAGAATATTCTTTGTGCCTTTAAACATGGCATATATATTTAGCTGTTTGCTAAAAAGCACGGATTTAATAAAGACACAATAAATATTCTCATGACTACTACAAGTGTGCAAAATTCGAAAAAAATCAGAGTGGGGCTTAACTGACCATCCCTGGTAAGAGCATCGGCCACCAAAAATTGCATGCAAAATATCATGTTCGCATAGAGAAGTCTTTCGTCAACGTTGATGATATCAAGCAATGTTTTGTAAGCATCGGCTGGCCTGTTTTTTTTTCTTTTTCTGTTAAAAAGTTTAACTATCATAGGTACAGCATTTGTAAGTATGTTTTAACGAAATTGCGTCTATCTTTATAGGAACACACTCTGTACTGTTCTACGATCAAGAAACTTACGGCTTCCTGCGTAAAAAGTCATGAAACAAGAAAAAGACAGAGATAAAGACACAGCATTAAAATGTATTTGTAAAGCCTTCAGCTAATCTAACGTGTACTCGATTATTTTTTCATAAATTTATTATTTTTAATATAATTGATAATAAATTTGTATACTTTGAATCTTTAAAAAAGAAATGCCGAATTGAAGTCAAAAATGAATGATTTAAAGATGATTAATGATCTCTTAATATGATGATGAAATGAAAAATGAATTTGATGATAAGATGAAGAATTGGATTGGCTATATTGGAAATAAATTTTAGAAATGTGAATTTTTAATCGAGGTACAATATCAAAAACGATAACTCTTGTGTCGCTTGATCGCGAATAAACACATTCGCTCTCTACTGACCTCTCTATGAGTTTACGCATCTCCTCGGTGGTCATGCCGTCCTTGCCGCGAGCATTCACTGAAATAGAAAAACACACGGCACGATTGACACAACGGTAAACTACTACGACAACACGTAGCATGCAAATAGTGGAAAGCTATACGATTAGAGACACAGAATTTAGAGCGAATCTCTTCCATTTATATACATGGTGATTCGCTCGACATGCGATATGTCCGCGCATTGTACACCTAATATCTAATGATGTCTAATGAAACGAGCAGTTCGAGAGAATCAAGAACAAGTATGAGAAAATAAAACTCGACTATCCGAACGCAAGTCAAGCTTGCTCCCTGTTTTTCATTCGGATACAAAATCGAGTATTTTTCTCATTCATCCTCGCCACTTCATTCTTCATCAGGATTCATTGTACTGACCGCCATAGTTGCGGTTGACAAGTTGATCACGGTCACATTCTGCTTCGCTGATTTCGTTGCTTTCCTTACTGTCGTTGAAACTTGAGTTATTCTGATCGTGATTCCTTGGTGGTGGTGGAGGTGGTTCGGGTGATCCAGAGCTTGGTAAATTGCGAGCAGATCCAACGCTACGACGGCCGACTGATCCACGAGAGCCATAGTGATCGTAAGGAGCACCGTATTGTCCATATTGAGAGCCGTATTGATCTTCTTCAGGAGCGCAATTAGCAGGGTCGTCGTATTCAGGAGAGAAGACATGAGTTCCGCTGCCACCTCCTTGGGATGGTACTCTAGAATAACGACCATTCTGACGAGGCTGTAAAAAACAAAATTTAAGAATAATACAAGTATTATAAGATAAATTTTATACGTGCTGTTTAAATAGACTATGTACCATAGATTGAGATCCAGAGCGACTGTGAGCAGAAGCATTAGTCGGATGTCCAACTGGTGGTCCCATAGTTCCGGAATGTCCATTACCTTGGTGAGGGAAAGTTTGGAATTGCATAGCCTTGCTTGGGTCCATTTCTTCACGGAATCCTAATAAGTGGAAAGTAGCGTACGGGCAGATCTCATCCTCCATGCCTGCAACAAGTATCGAGGGTAGACTCTGCTGCCATGAAGTTCGTATAAAAAATACATTTTCTAATTGTTACTAAATTCAACGATTGTCATCTTTTCAATTAACAAATGAATGATATTGATGATATGTATACGTGCACCAATTTTCATGTTAGTAGTCTCGCTTGAATGTTCCTACTTCCATGCCCTTTTATATTATATATCTCCTTATGAATCACCGAAGTGAAATATTTCTTTCATAGAGAGAACGAGAAGTAAAATATACTCGGCTTAACTGTGTTCGATGTGTAAATTGTGTGCTGGTCAAATAACGAGCGTAGCATGCGATAACGTGCAACATCGATGAAGAAGAACAAGAAAAATAAGATGAATAAGTTGTAGACAAAGAAGAAAAAGAAAAAAACGTATATCTTCATTTATGAGGATTTAGAACCACGAAGAGGACTTACGAAGACCGGCTGCGAGACCGAGTGGCTGTACCGGCTGCAGTTCGTCATTACCAGAATCGCGAAAGACGAAGGCTTGCGACGGGACACGAGGGAGAATGAGCCCTTCGTCCTAGAAAAACTATTGTTACCAACCTCTGTGAGAAAGACCCTCCGAACTGCCCATACGCGGTGGAGGTGGGCACCTTCTGCTGGGTGCACAATGATTTAATTCCTCATACATGTGCCTCCTTGGATCCCACGTTGAGTGACTTCTGAACGAACCTGTCGCACCTATCGAACATATACTACAACAATCGTACGACTCGCTGCCGCTTACCAAGCTGTCTATCAGGATCTATTTTTTAACGATCGTTATTCTTTAAAGAAGGACACTAATACCAAAACTAATAAAATTTTGTTAACCATGTTGGATTCTTGGTACGCGCAGCGATGTTATAAGCGCATACGAAGGAACAACTTGTTTCGTTTAGTAGCAGGGTATACATTTTTATACGTAGATATATAGTATAGTATATGTATATATACTTCGGTATGCAAAATATGTTTAAGCATAGCCAACATAAATAATAGCGGAATCTAAATGGTAATAATGTTGTAATGCGTGTGTATTGTGTTTGCTTGCATATTGGTTCTCCACAAAGAATATCATCGTTTTGAAATTTAAACTGTTGGCTGGCTGTGCGAAATTAATGTGTTCCGTAAGAAGAAATAGTCAAACTATCTCGTGCCGATGCGACAACATTCAAACAGTTATAATGGAGAATCATCTAAATATCAAACTTTTGTCAGTTGTGGCTTACTTATCACTGTACCTCGCTTGATGCGATCGCAGGTGTTATAGTTGGAGCCAGGAACAGGTGGAAGTTTGCGATTCGGGGGTGCGATGTATCCTAATTCATCTCGAAGATCAGGCCTGCGTTTGTCAAGTGTAGCGCCACCAACACCGGTTTGTTGATATACTACGTCGTCTGCAAGCAGCAATAAACGTATTCGTTCATATTAATATTACTATATTATTAACCAATGAATATGTACGATTGGCAAAGAATCACTGGGAGGATGATTACGATCAGAAGATTTAAATTGATCATCACATTATGCAACATTTCAATATTAAAGTCGTTATTAATATTCTTGTGTCAAAATCATCATCGCAGTGATACTCCATTATTCGATTACTTTTCGTAATCTAATGAATAAAGTAATAAAAAAAAAATTGGTATACATTGTCCCTCGTAATATTTCTCGTCGGCTGAAGAGATACCTCGCAGCCGTGTTTGTTCCGGGCCTCGGGTTCGTCTAGATAATGCGACGCAAATGACAACAATTCCTACGATAATGACGACGATCGTAGCTCCAACCGGTACAACAACATTAACATCGAGCCAACTCGGTAACCATGGGAAATAACGTCTGACGTCGGTATCCTCATTACCACCGTTACGTACCGGCGGAGCAATTGTACCTACATATGGAAAAAAATAAAAAAAATTATTACCTTTATCACTACCATGACCCTTTCCTCTTAGAACGCAGATCACGATGACGGCAACGATTATAACAAGAACTGCGGCTACCACAGGTACGACAAGATTCAAGTTAGCCATGAAAAATTTCACTGGGTCTTCATCGTTGCCACCACCGTTAATGTCCGGTAATTCGCGGGCCGGTGCAATGGTGCCTGGAACAAAAAATACGGCGACCGTTCAATCCAGCCACCATTAGCACCGGCTACGAGATGCTTTCAAACGCATCAAGCGTAGTTATGCTATACCCACCTCCAGTTACAGTCAAAGTTGCAAATTCATATTCGGCTACCGCAAATCCAGCATTATTATGAGCCGTAACTCGAAGATGATACCAGCTAGCAGGGTCTAGATCCAAAACTACGAAGTTACCGCCCGGTTTAACGTTATTAGATACTTGGTTCCATTCTTGTAGATGCCTAAAATAGGAGAAAAACTTGGTTACTTCGAACTTGCTGTTTAAACTTTTAATCTAATTTCTTGTTTGTTTCGTACTTCTTCTTATGTTCAACGACAAAGTACAACATAGGGCAGCCACCGTCAGACCAAGCGCTTAAGTGAAGGGTAATGCTGTTAGTAGATACTTCAATAAATCTTGCTGCTTCAGGAATAATGGGTTTCGATCCTTTGGTACGAGTGTTCAAAGTGTCTGATTTGTCTCCAGTTCCAATGCTAAAATTACGTTTACGTTGAATCATATCCGCTTTTATTGGATAAACCTTAATTATATAAGACTTATTCTTACCTATTGTAAGCCTTAACATAGATCTGATATCGAGAACCACACCATAAGTTTTCTAAAGTATACTTTTGAACCGAAGAACTAATTTGAGCGGTTTCCCAGTCACCAAATTCAGGTTTGTAATGAATCGTATATCCATTAATAGGTGCATTATCAGTTGAATGAGGTCGCAATTTCATTGTAAGCGAATTGGTAGTCATGGCCGTGAGAGTAACTTGTGGTGAGTGTGGTGGAGCTAAAAACCAATCATCAAATATTAATAACAAAAACAAAACTTTGAATCTATTTTATAATTATTCATATAGACAATTACCATTAACAATAAGTTGATGAGTAACAGTATCATGTCCAAAAGAGTTTTCAACATAGCACGAATATTCTCCAGCATCAGCACGGTCAACTTCTTTGATGAACAAGGATCCTTCGGGTAATTGTCTCAATCTATCACTGGTTTGAAGAACAGAGCCTCGTACTTTCCATACTACTTCCGGTGCCGGTACACCAACAGCAAGACAAGGTAACCTTACATCTTCTTTGTAAGTCGCAGTGAATTTGTCATCAAACGATGCAATCTTGGCCGGTACTATAAATTGAAAAATAAAGAAAACAATAAATTAATAAGATGCTTACTTTGTATATATTGTAAGAGATATAAAATACAAATCTTACCTCGTACACTTGGTCCTAATGTCACAATCTTAGAATTTTCTCCTTCGCCAATGTTTGTGCTAGCAGTTACCCAGAATTCGTATCTTCGTTGTTTGTCAAGACCAGTAGCTTCGTAAGTTAACTGATTAGGTGGAACTTTCTGGCTAGTTGGGTTTTCTGCGCTATCAGCTTTAGTGTAAACGGTATATTGCGAAATAACTCCATTTGGTTGATTTGGTGGGCGCCAAGACACAAGAATTGATTCAGGAGACATGACGAGTGCTTTAACGGCGATCGGTGCTTCGGGGGCTAAAGAAGAGAATAGATAAATCGTTAATAAATTACATAAAATATTATTGATGCTTTCAAAATTAAAACTTACCATCTTGTTCTGTTTGACAGTGGATTGGTGCAGATTTCACGCCATCGCCACCAGAGGTAAAGGCCAAAACTTGCATGCTGTAGTTCGTATATTTTTTCAAGCCATGTAAAATCGTTTCGCTGGAGGAGGTAATCTTGGTATCTTTCGTATTTTCATCATACCAAGTATCAGATGGACCATAAATAACCTAAAAATATATTATGTTCATATACAGATAATAATACGTTAATATAAAAATACACAGTAAATATTTTCTTAATATATTTTTGATATAAAATGTTTTATTACCTTGTAGCCAGTAATAACACCATTTGCAGCACTAAGAGGAGGCGACATCCATGAAACTCTGATAGTTTGCGAAGTAAGAGTAGTGCAAGTCGTGTCGTGGGGTGGTTGTTCGGGTACACCTTCAGCCGTGTGTTGTCTTCGTTCTTCGCTCATCGGTCCAGAACCAACTTTATTGAATGCTTGAACAACAACGCTGTATTGGGTGTAGGTCTTAAGATTCATGATCTGCAAGTGATGTTCTTTTCCATCTTCCTTCGAAAATTCAACGGTTTCAAACATGTATGGTTTGTCAGAGGATGAAAGCCTGTAGCCGACATAATAGCCAAGAATTTCGCCGTTCCAATCTTCGCGTGGGGGTGGTTTCCAAGTTACCTAAATATATGTTTAACTTTGTTAATAATATATTTTCAGTTGTGAGTTAATGAGAAATTCAATTTTACCATAGTTACCTTGAGAGTATGTTGATCAAGAGCATCAACTCTAACAGAAGTTGGTGGGCCACTTGGAGCTTCTTCGGCGGTGATGATAGTTACAGTGTCAGATGGGTCAGACTTTCCAATTTCGTTTTCGGCAACAATTCGGAGATGGTAAGTCGTGGCAGGTCTAAGATTGAACACACCAGCAACGTTTTGTTGAGAGCCAGGCACAAGTACCTTATCGATATCAGTTTCCCAGGAGCCTTTGCTGATTTTGTATTCGATAACGTATCCTTTCATGGGACTATTTCCGTCATATGGAGCTGCCCACGACAATTGAACCGAACGTCCAGACTTATCCAATACTTTAAGACCATAAGGAACTTCCGGTACCTCTGCAAGGAAATTATATAGGTAAAAGTTTCTTTACTATCCATTAAGATACAAAATTTTATAACATTACTCCAAAGGCTGTACCTTGAACAATCATGTTGATGCTGGTATCATCGCTGCCAAAAGCATTCGTTGCAACACAGGTAAACAAAGCCGAGTCACTCCTTTCAGTTCTCTTGATACTAAGGTCAGACAGAACACCATTAGCCAAAATTTCTTCTCGGATGGTATAACGTGAATCGCTTTTCGGGTCAAGTCTCTTGTTGTTCATATTCCATAAAATGCCAATTGGTTTCTCGCCTTGTGCCTCGCATTGTAATACAGCTGGTTCGCCACGTTTTGCAGTTTGATTTTTGAGTTTGATTTCAAAATGGGGAGGTGCTGTAATTATCGAGAATCTTAATGCAAACAAATAATTAAAAAGAAAGAAAGAAAAAAGAAAAACTAAGATCTCACCTTGAACAGAGATGAGAATCACAGCAGAAAGTCCAGCTCCGATACCGTTAACAGCCTCGCAAAGATAATAACCTTCATTAGTCTTTTGAATGTTATTGATCGAGAGAGTTCCATCTTCAACACTAATATCAGGATTGCTCATTTTCAAGTCGGTATATTCACCAGGCGTATCTCCTGTTCAATGAAAATCATACGATGATGAATAAATAATTAGTATAGTTTCAAAGTAGTTAAGGAAATTAAAACTAAAACGAAAATACTAACCAGCAGCTCTCTTCCATGTAATCTGGGGCTTCGGGAAACCATCGGCTTTACATTCAACGCGTGCATCAGAGCCTTGTGCGAAAGCTTTATCGGTAGGTTCCAGAATCCAGCGAGGTGGTACTGTGACAGAATAAATCGATTAGAACTGCGTTCTTTTCCCTTAGTCTACTATAGCAGTAAACCGGAAGCAAATCGTTCCGTCGTCCTAGATCTTTCCTCAACTACATTATCAGGGCATTCAGAAGAAATATTTATCAAAGTATTTCATTTCCAATTAAATTCTGCTTGCATAAAAGCAGCCAAACAAAAAGATCCAGAACAGATGGTATTACATTTATTGCATGCAAACGTTGATTTGCTTCCGCTACTGCAACGAGCAGATTGTACTACTAATAAAAGCATACGGGACTTAGAGATGACTATGCGGGTATCTACTAGCATGAACCGAGAATATGAAGATTGACGAAGAAAGGCTGCTGAAGGAGCTCACTGAGAGTACATGCAAGAAGTTCTACGATGTATGTACTTAAGCACGGCTTGCATGCTGTACCGCATTAAGAAATCATGTTAAGACCATATTTCATGTTCTTACTCGGAGTAAAAAGGGCTGTGAGAGAGACAGAAAGAGAAAGGCTGAAAGAGTGAGTGAGAAAGATAGAGATAGTTAGAGGTGGTTACAGAAAGAGAAGAAGAAAGAAAGAAAACCATGCATGTATCACTACGAACTACTTTTTTCTCATGCACGTACAAAATGAATGAGGCGAGACATGTGAGGTAAAGGCTAGGTAAGACTGATACGGAAAGGTGCTTTAAGGAGTAAAGGTTGGAATGAATCTCGGAAACCCTCCGAGGGGTGCTGGAATGGTCGGTCGGTCGTCTTTGGAGCTGGGACGCGTTGTGGCTCGCGAATGTGGGGACGTACGACGAACTACAAACTTGATCAATGTTATGACGAAACGACGACAAAACAATACGAGAGACTTAACAAAACCTATCAGAATGACCTCGCGATATTGTGTGCGTGATCGAGATAGAGTAATGAAATATATATACATATATTTGTTGAGAATGATGAAGATCAAAGAAAAATACAGCGTGATGTATCTGTGTTCATCATGTGTATGTGTGAAAGAGAAATATAATACTTTTAGCGATCTTTCTTGGCAAAATCAAAAAACCAAAGAAAGGATCGCTGACAAATGTTGACGAAGAGGGCGCAAGAGAAAAAATGAAACGATATTAAAGCGCGAAATTTAAACGAACGGCAAATACAAGGAAAGGCCGTTGTTGAGCTTCAGGAAAATGGAGGTTTCGGTTCGATCTACCTGATCTTTAACGCTCGGCTTTAAGCTTGTGGACTCGAAACTGTAGCATATAAGATAGAAACCCAATAATAATATTAATATTAATAATAATAATTATTATTATAATAATAATAATTAATAATAATAATAATAATAATAATAATAATAATAATAATAATAATAATAATAATAATGACAATTTTAATATAAGAAAATGAAATCTAAAGAAAAAAGATAAATGGCTAATAGAAGAATAACAAAATTAAATAACAAAGGAAAGAAAAAAAAGATAGAAATATGAGCAAGAAAGTGAAAGAGAAAGAGAGAAAGAGAGAGAGAGAGAGAGAGAGAAAGAGAGAAAGAAGAAAGAGAAAGAGAAAGAGACAGTGCAGACGAGAGTGTCATCCCCGGTGACGAAAGCAACGATCTGTACACAACAGGACAGCTTCAGCAACGACGAAGATGCATCAATAAAGCCTGCAGTCATAAAATATCGCGATAACCGACGCGATTATTATTATTATTTGCTGTCATTCAGGGTGATCATCAATCATCATGTCGCTCATTATCAAAATCAATATACGCATATATATAAGTATAATATAATATAATGTATGTATGTACGCATGTATATATATATATGTCGTTATTTTGTATGGTCAATTAGCATTATTATCATTATCACGATTTCAATGTTCCTCCCTTTACTCTTGGGCCCTAACCGTGGACTCGTAACCTGGCTTCGTGTGCCGCTCTTCCCGACGGATTACTAGCGAGACACGCGTAACGTCCATCGTGGTCTGGGGTAACTGGCTCGATCAGAAGTATACTCGTTCGTGGTCCGATTTTCCCGACGCTGTATCCCATATATTGCGACAAGGGTTGACCCTCGTATGTCCAGGTGATCTCAATCGGTGTGTCGCCGACCGGTACCATGCACGCTAGCTGAGCAGCCTGTCCGGCATAGATCGGTCGATCCCCAAAATCGAAAGGACTGATGCGTGGTAAGACTGGAATATGTAACGGTAGTAGAGGCTCTAGGTAAACCGGCCACGACGACAAATTTTAACGCGATTTTTAATGAAGACTCGATGTGTTTTTCTTCTCCTGTTTTATCTTTTCTGGATTTTTTTTATATTTCTTTTTTATTTTATTCGTTCATCACTTATTTGATCTTCCGATTTGGTATTTCCATTTCTCCGTATTTTGTCCGAAGCTTGTTTCGTAATACGCTTGCGGTCTTTTCCGATATTATCGTTGAAATTAATTAACGAAGAAATCAGATAACGAAATAAGCGAATAAAATGAGGGTTAGGACGTGTTGTTGTTCGTTTGCTTCGCGACAGTTTTAAACTCGAGAAAAAAAAGGATAAAACTCCCGGCTTGAAAACTCAACCCACCGAATTCTGTATTAACGAGGAGAAGATAATTGTGTAGAGAGTTAAAGAGAGAGTGATAGAGAAAGAGAAAGAAAGAGAAAGAAAGAGAGAGAGAGAGAGAAAGAGAGAGAGAGACATAGGGGAAGTTCAGAATGGAGAATCGGGCAAACGTAAACTTTCCAGACATCTTCATGTGTATTTATGTATTGCTACACGACAGACAGAGCAAGTAGTACAGTTTATTACGACGAACGATGCATTATTATTAACGTTATTATAATATAAATATATATACATGTATATATTACATGTATATGTATTTATATATACATTATCTTCATTAATATTGACTACTACACGAGCTACAGTCCCACAGAAATAAAATATAATAATTATAAGTCACGTTAGTTTCCCGTTCAATCATTATCACATTCTTTTGCATAGCAAATTTGACAGATTCTCAAATAGCGCGTTATGTGGATATACGTAATAATATCGACGACGATCATGCTGGCCGCGTATTTTTTTTCCTTTAGATTCTTTTCTGAATATTTCCTGTACCGTTCACTTTGAGATGTGCACTGTGCCTAGCACGACCGGCTGGATTATCGGCAACGCAAGCATATTCTCCGGCGTGTTCTCCCCTTACGGACGGTATCGTCAAGGCCGATACTCTATCCCCAAACGCGGTGATACCCACTCCGTCTCCTACTTCTAAATGGCGTCCCTCGAACAACCACTTGAGCGAAATCGGTGTGTCCCCCTTAACGACCGCGCAATGGACGATTATCAGATCACCGGAGTTGGCCTCATCGAACGAGAATGGCTGCAGATGTGGGGAGACTGTCGAAAATAGGCAGAGAGAAAAAAGCAATAGAAAGGCCAAAGAAAATAGAGCGAGAGAGACAGAGAAAAAGAGAGAAACGCGACAAACGTCATTAATTTAACGTCTTTTACAAACGAACTACGCCACCTCTTGTTAACCCACTTTTTCAACGAACGTTTTTTTCTGAGAGCAAGACCGTGGTTTGAGAAAAAAAAAGACGAAGTAGAATAAATCAAAAGGAAAACACGAGTAGACTCGTAAAGGTCTATAGGACTGAAAAAATGATTTGGAGTTGGTAGAGGATAATTCTTTAGGTGATTTTTTCCACGATAAATCCTTAAAACAAGGCATTGAAAATATATAAGGGATTGAGAAAGGAAAAAAGAGAGATCGTTATGCACCATTGACGATCAGATCGTCCGAGAGCTCGTGCCTTCCGGCAAGGTTTTCCGCGATACATGTGTAAGTTCCCGCATGAGCTGCCTGGACCGATCCTATGCTTAGTATGACGCCTCTTCCCCCAAGATCCAGTACTGAGATTCCAGAGTGTGGCGAAATCTCGTGACCGTTTAAGGTCCAACGGAGCTTCAAGGGTTGATCACCCTCAACCACTGCGCAAGGTACCGTTACTACTTGACCCGAGTTTAATGGTTCTTCTCCGAATACGAATGGCAACAATTTTGGAATAACTGGAAATAGAAAGAAAGTAGAAAAGAAGCTGCCTCACTAATCTTGCAATAATCACGCTCCCAATAACTGCTCTAAATTCTTCTAGATGTTCTCCGTTTTTCATGAATACATAAATATTCAGTATCTTGACATTTCCAATGATTTTCGCCCTTCACATCCTAGATGTTTTTCGATTCACTAAATGAGTTTAAATCAAGAATGAAAATATATGAAAAATAAGAAAATTAAAATGATAGAAATAGAAAGAAACGAATTCAATAAATAAAGAACAATAAAGACCGATAAAGAAAATAGAAGTGTATAGAGCATAAAGAGGATTATGCCTCGTCGGAAAGGAAGGTAATGTAGAAGGAAGTTAATAGAAATACATTGGGATCTTCGTTGCAAAATCAGGGAGTACGTGTACCGTTGACGTCCAACTTGGCCGAATGAGACGTTGAACCAGCTACATTTGATGCGACACAGGTGTACTCCCCGGCATGTCTTGCAGCAACGGACTCGATGGTTAATTGCTTCACGCGTTTTCCGGAATTAGATACGATCACATCCATCCGATCGTGATCTATAGGATGACCATCAAATGTCCAAGTGATCTCCAGAGGAGAGTCGCCCTTAGTAACGACGCATTGCACGGAGACCAAGTCACCTGCGTTAACCGGTTCCTCGCCGAATGATATTTGTCCTATCTGCGGTGCAACTGCGACACCAATCAGCAAGAAAAGAATAAGCACAGTAACATGTGCTCAGAAATATCAATGAACTCTCATGGAAAAAAAGAACTTCTTTTTAAAAGGATCTTTCCTTTAGCCTAGTCTAAACATTAGGCAATTAACTAATAATAAGAACAGCCTCCCTAAAGTTTCCTCGATAAACGGACTTGCTCATAATTTTGGAGAAAGGTACTGGTATTTGGATGGATTCTTGAGGTAATAAGAAAGTGCTGCTAAATGAAAACTTTGGATGCATTATGCAATGCTTTTAAAGTCGTTGTTTGAATGTCTTTAATATACCATTAACCGAAAGAACGGCCGAACGAGTGACGGTTCCAACCAAATTGCTCGCGATGCAACTGTACTCGCCAGCATGATGCGCGGTTACAGAGTCGATGGTTAGCAGAGACGTCTTTTTGCCTGTTTTCTGGATCGTTATGTCCGGATGCGTGCGAGCTGTGATCGGTTCACCTTTTAAGCTCCATTGAATATCTATCGGTGAATCACCCTTGACGATACTACAAATAGCCGAAACCTGCTCTCCCCAATTAGCTGGTTCATCCCCGATCGAGAAGGGTGCGATCTGCGGTGATACTAAAAAAGATCGTCGACGCTAATCAATTTTTCATTAGGCATGTTTTCATATGCCCTTGGATAATGGAGGAAAGGTGACAAAGAAGGGACAGTGGAAATGGTTTTAGAAGAACGAAAAAAAACATGTTGATTGTTTCAAAGGTAAAATGGAAAATGCACTGCAATCGTAAGAATTGTGTTACATTCATGAAAGATGCGACCTGTTCAAACATTAGTAAAAAGGAAAGCATTATCGCTTCGTTCGGTACGTTTCTATTAGCTAATAATGTGTGCACGCGAATTTAATGGCAGAGTGAACACATCGTTCAATGCATATTTCTATGATCTCAATTCAAGGAACAAGCTTCTGAGTCCCTTTGTGTACCGTTTACTGCTAATACTGCCGAATAACTAGTGGCTCCTGCTGCGTTCGAGGCTGTACAAGTATACTCCCCGGCGTGCCTCGCGCTCACGGCTTCGATCGTCATCAGGCTGACCCGTTTTCCAGTGCTCGATATAGAAACATCTCCGTGATTGGCGTCGTTAATAGGCTCACCGTTTAAAGCCCATGAAACCTCGATCGGTAAGTCACCCTTTCCGACCGTACAAACAGCCGAGACTGCTTCTCCCCAATTTGCAGGTTCGTCGCTGATTGAAAAGGGTACTATTTGTGGCGCGACTGTAAGTGATTTGCAAAGGTATGACAATTATTATCTAAACTAATCAATTCTAAACGAGATTATCGAAAACAATGAAGTATTTTGTGAACGACCTAAAGAGATAACAAGATCGTTTTACGTGTTGCCACGATTGTTTGATGAAAATAATCCTTGAGTCTGCTCACCTAAGCCTACCTCATTCCTAGTATGATAATGTTGATGTAGAAAATAGCTTTCATCTCCGAGAATAGATTTAGAAATAGAACTATCGTAAATTTACGACAACGTGGAATGGAAAAGGAAGAGAAAGGAAGGAAGAGAACAACTTCTCTTATCTTTGCGGATAGGTCAACCAAGGTTGCTAGTGAAAAATAGAAATAGAGAAAGAGAGAAAGAGATAGAGACGTGCCCGTATAAGACATGCACGCGCATTACCGTTCACGGCTAAAGTAGCGGTGTGACTGGAAGCACCGGCATTGTTTGACACTGTGCAAGTAAATTCTCCCGCATGTCTTGCGGCAACGGCATCGATTTGTAGTACACTTAGACGTTTGCTCTTCGTTATCATAAACTGATCTCTATATTCGTCGGTTATCGGCTCGCCGTTGAAGGCCCACGAAATGTCCATCGGGAAGTCTCCTTTTTGAATGGAGCAGGTAGCTGATATTGCCTCGCCCGAGTTCACCGGTTCGTCGCCGAACGAAAAAGGAAAGATCTGCGGTGCAACTAATAGAACATGCTTGTCGTCAATCGAAAAACAAGTAAGTTCACAAGTTCTTCTCTAAATGAATCAAATAAAATTCGCCGAATACCAAGGTTTCTATCCAAATGGTTTAATTTTCTTCATCGCGTATTTTCGAGTCCAAAAATTTATTTTCCTTGAGAGCGGATGTCTTATGGTAAAACAAAATCTGAATCAATGATAGGACAATGGACGTGGTAGGTGATTGATAGAGCACGCTTGTTGTCGACGAATAAAAATTTTTTTTCTCTAAACAAGACCAATACAATGTCTCAAATATCAAAATTGAAATAGTTCGAATTTCGTCATCCCATATCACCGAGTGTAAAAATTTTAACGATATAAATAATCATAAAATAAAAAAAAAAAGCATTAGATCCAATGGCAGGATGATGGATAGGTATGTATGTGCTGTGCAAAACACATTTAATTATCGTGCAAGCGTGCTTTCAAAAGATTGATACCGTTAACAGCCAGGATGGTCGAGTGAGTGGCATTGCCAGCTCGGTTCGTGGCGACGCAAGTATATTCGCCCGCATGTCTTGCAGTCACCGATTCGATGCTCAATGCGCTCATGTGTCTATTGATCTTCGTTATCGTAATATCTGAATCATCTGGGCCTATCGTTTTGTCATTAAACTTCCAAACAATTTTTACGGGAAAATCGCCTTTCATGATGGAGCACGTTGCCGAGACCATGTCTCCCCAATTCGCAGGACCGTCACTGATCGAGAAAGGACCTATATGAGGTGCCACTAAAATGACAACGTTAATTGTGAATCTAATATAAGATTATATTAATGGTACGAGCAAATTCACTGTCGAAGAAAAAGAACCTAAATTATCCTGACAAGAGTAATCAACGATTCTGAACTTGATGAAAGGATTTTATTTTGCGGAGTAGTTAGAGCATCATCTCCAAAGCGAACGATCCCACCGTGTTAAATGAAGGATAGAACAAAGGATCGCATTAGTGTTGTTTATCCGCTGAAATGAACACAGCCAACAACAATTCCGTACATGCATGAATGCTACAGAAAACTAGGAAAAACTAAGTAAAACGCATAAATCGTTCTACCGTTCACAGCTAAAGATGCGGAATAACTTGTTCCACCAGCAACATTGCTGGCTATGCAAGTATATTCTCCGGCATGTCTCTCTGTAACCGCATCGATTGTGAGCAGACTAACGCGTTCGTTAGTATTAATCCATACGTCCGAACGATCGCGAGAAATTGGTTCACCATTGAGTGCCCACTCAATCTGTACAGGACGATCGCCTTTCAGCACGGTGCAAGTGGCAGTTACGGTGTCTCCCCAATTCGCTGGTCCCTCTCCCATTTCGAACGGCATTATTACCGGAGCGACTATCGTGAAAAAGTCATATAAAAAATATCGTTTCTACTATTCGATATACCCCCAAGTAATTGAATGTCCCATATAAAATATCTGCTTTCTTACGAATAATCCGCAAATCTGTCACAACTGAGTATAATTGTTTCGGTGACAAGTGGATAAAAAGGATAAACAGGATTAGGAAAGGAAGAATACTAGAACAAATAAAAGAAGGAAACTGACTATAAAAGAACAAATGTATAATACTAATTCGTGACATGCAGACAAGAACAGCGATATTATATAGAC